GTAATCCTTCACCAGCTGTGAGATAGCAGAGGCCAAGCTTTTGGAGTCAGCCTGGGAAGCGGTTGCCTGCCTCTCCCCGCCCGCACTCAGGAGAAGCAGCCAGAGGACAGACTGCCACCGGAGCGCCATTACTGTTGAAGTCTCTGGAAGTTAATTGTCTCCTGGGTATATATACGTATCTAGGCAAGTAGGTAGATTGTCATTAGGACTGGGGCGTAGTTTTCTCCTAGGAAAATGCAAATTAAATAGACAGACAGGTAGGTTATAGAAATGGGGCTGGGGCTTAATCTTATCCTAGAAATACGTAGGTTTTTGAGACAGTTTATAGATATGCAGATACAGTGGCAGATAGGTGTATTATAGATAGCCCCGAGAGTATTTGGATACATAAAGATAGAATATAGATAGTTTGGTAAATAGTGATATATGGCTTCATAATGTTTAACTTGAAGAACCGGAAAGAATGATTTGCTTTGCTTATGATAAACGTTGTTATAGAATTTGATTTCTTACGTGTCGAGCTCATTAATCTAAATCTCGTATATTCGAAGATTCTTATTCATGGATAGTGAATAATTTCTGTAGCTTATGGAGATATAATATTATTATGTTACTACTTTTTCTCTCACCTTCCGAAATGCTAACGCTGATGAAATAGCTTTTAATAGTTTTTCTCATGAAAAATTATTATTACCTTCAAGTGATAATGTTATTGAGACCTACACGCGTCCGTCGTCATAGAATTGCTGATTTCAGTTACTTTATTCACCTTAATTTTGTAGTAGAACGAGAAAAATGTGATCATTGTGATATCATGTATTGTGTTATAAAAGACAGGGGCGCAATGGGATTATCTATTTATGCTGCTGCTTTTACTCAATTATTCTTTATTTGTTTATCATAATATGTATGTATATGTATAATATGAATATTATATATATATATATATATATATATATATATATATATATATATATATATATATATATATATATATATATATATGCATATATATACATATATATATATATATATATATATATATATATATATATATATATATATATATATATATATATAGATATATAGATATAGATATAGATATAGATATATACATAGATATATATGTTATATGCTGCTTTCCTCTATTATTCTTTATT